TTGAAAGAATGATGGATAATTGCAATTGCAATTCAAACAAAAGGAAAAATATAAGTAAACAAAGAAAAAGAGTGAGGTTTTACAAGAGAAGAGAAGATCCAAAGGGAGAGATTTGCCGCACCACCGGAATTTTTTCCTATAGTGCCTAAAAGGGATCTCAAATTTCCTACCAATGCCTCTCAATTGCGATTCTAAGTGAGTGTTTATAGAATTTTAAAAAATTTAATTCGAATAAAAGTGAGATCTATATCAAAATAATAAACTGGCCCTCACTTGCTGAAAATTGCCTATGGGATAGACTCCTCAAGCTCAAGTGCCGACACCTTTAGTAAATCGGTGGTTAGAGTCCGTGTCGGACTTGTGGGCCAAAATGCAATTTTGTTTAATGGCAAATAACAGTACTGGTGCCTGCCTTCTCGTTTCTGTGCACGTTAATCCTCAGGTGCCTCATCTCTGCAGTTTGCTCCTTAAAGATATGTTTTCTTCCAATTAAATCTTTTTCTGCACAAAAAATAAAAATTATATAAAACCAGGTAAAATCTTATAAATCTCATCTATATATCAATAATATTAGAATAAAAATTCTACATTAACATTTATGAAATTCTAACTCATTACCCATGGCAATAGAATTCTATAATAATACAATAAGTATTCATGGTGGGATGTTGTCTCAATGAAAGATGAAAGCGTGATTATTGAAAGATTTTTCAATCAAAATTCATTTTTCATTAATGCAGGTCTATGTTGAAAATTTGGTATGAGAAGCATAATATATATGCTAATTGGCATTCCTTGGAAAAGGTGGAAAGAGTTTAGAATGAAAACTGCTAACGCAGATCTACTTCTCCAAAGCAATTAGGATAACATCCGCTAAAAATTCCCCTTTTTCCATGTGACTAACATAACATTTAGGTGAAATGTTGGATCTGTATCCCAATGACCAACAGCTGGTGGTAAACTCATTTCAGAAAAATAGGTACCCAACTGGAAAATCCATGGTAAACTCCTACATAACAAGCAATGCAGATCCAGGAAGAAATGATTGGCAAGTGATTAGTTCGTCATATTTTTACGTACACACTAGCTGGAAACATCATCCAATGTAGCATATGGAGTCATTGTTACACGATCATCTAACGTCTCCAAGGACCTTCATCAATTAATGGAATTACTTAATGGTGAATTATGGGGGGATGTGATTCTCTCTTCAGGCGTTTGTTAATGCAAGTGTAAGAAGCGAGTATGTTCAGATTTAGCTAAGCGTTTGGATCAGTGGTGGAGCCACGTTAAAATTTTAAATTAGCCCTTAAATTTTGTA